ACGATCAGACCTTTCTCCCTACCCGCGACGCCTACGCGGAGTTGCTGCCGGCTGATTGTCTCNTGCTGCTGACGATCAGACCTTTCTCCCTACCCGCGACGCCTACGCGGAGTTGCTGCCGGCTGATTGTCTCGCCTTTGAGCTGCAGGAGGTTGTGCTCCATCCCCACACTAAACCAACTTAGCTAGCTAGCTAGCCAAACATATTCCTAGCTAGCTAGCTACCTAGCTAGCTAGCTAACCATATAGCTAGCTAGCTAGCTAGCTAGCTAGCTAGATAACCTCGCTCGCTAGCTAAACAAACAGCTAGCGGCTAGCTAGCTAGCTAGCTAAACTCGCTAGCTAGCTAAAGCGCTGGCTAGCTAGCTAGCTAGCTAGATAAACATATAGCTAGCTAGCTAAAGCGCTGGCTAGCTAGCTAGCTAGCTAGCCGGCTTAGCTAGCTACCTACCTAGTTACCTAGTTACCTATCAAACTAGGTGGGTCTTAATGGCTAGCTAGCTGGCTAGCTAGCTAGCTAACAAAGCTAGCTAGCTAGCTAACTAAGAAACCATCACAGCTAGCTAGCTAGCTAGCTAGCTAGCTAGCTGGGGGCCAGCGGGAGGCAGAGACCAGCGTCGTACCTTCACGAGAGCGGCCAGCTGCCGTCTGGCGCAGCTCGACTTTGTTCATTTATTATTCTTTCTTTTCGCTCACACCCACGAGACCCCAGCTAGCTAGCTAGCTAGCTAGCTAGCTAGGTAGAGAGATAGCTAGTAAGTTAGCTGAGTGGCTCGCTAGCTGCCCAGCTAGCTTGCTAGCCAGCTAGCTGACTGGCCCGCTAGCTGACCTAGCTAGCTAGCTAGCTGGCTAGCTAGCTAGCTAGCTAGCTGGGTAGCTAGCTAGCCAGCTGGGTAGCTAGCTAGTAGAGCTGTGGTTGAGCCTGAGCTGAGCAGAACTATATATGTATCTATACAAATAGAGACAGATAAACAGAGAGAGAAAAATAAATATAAATAAGGAGAGATGTGTAGATAGATAGAGAAGAGAGACAGAAATATAATAAAAATAAAAATAAATAGGGGGATAAATACATAAAAGTAAATAAACAAAAATAAATATAAACACAGACAGATAAAGAAAGAAACAAAAATAAAGACAGAGATAAATAAATATATAAATATGTAAATATACAAATGTGTATATATTATATATATAGTATATAAATATATAAATAAATAAATATATAAATATATAAATATATAAATAACGAGAAAGAAGTAGACGGAGGTAAATAAATATATATATAAAAAGAAAAAGGAAATAAATAAAAATAAAAAAAATAAATAAAAATAAAAATAAATAAAAATAAAGACAGAAGCAACCAGACAGATAGACAGATAAACAGACAGACCTTCTGTCTTTCTTTTTTTCTCTCTTTGTTTTTTTCTTTTTTTCTTTTTTTCTCTCTTTGTTTGTCTCTTTGTTTTTTTCTTTGTTTCTTTGTTTCTCTGTTTCTTTCTCTCTTTGTTTGTTTTTTTGTTTATTTGTTTATTTGTTTGTTTGTTTCTTTTTTTGTTTCTTTTTTTCTTTTTGTCTCTTTCTATCTTCTCTATCTACATCTCTCCTTAATCTACCTTTATCTATCTATCTATCTACCTATATATCTATCTATCTATCTATCTACCTATATATATACATATATATATGTATATATATATATANTATATATATATATATATATATATATATATATATATATATATATATATATATTTATTTATTTATTTATATAAATACAGATATATATACATTTATATAAAAATAAATAGAGTTATAGAGAAAAAGAAACAAATAATAACAGCCGACGATAAACGCAAAACAAAAGCTCCCTATACACCCCAACCTAATCACCATCAACTGCTGCTGCTGCTGCTGCTGCTGCAGCAGCAGCAGCTTATCCTCCTGCTTCTCTGGTTTATGCTGCAACAGCTAATGCAGCAGCAGCAGTTGCTGCTGCTTCTACTGCAGCTGCCGCTGCTGCTGCTGCTGCTGCCACTGCTGCTGCTGCTGCTGCCACTGCTGCTGCTGCTGCAGCTGTTATTGCTGCTGCTGCTGCAGCTGCCACTGCAGCTGCTGCTGCTGCAGCTATCAAAGCAGCTGCTGCTGCTGCAGCTGCCAATGCAGCTGCAGCTGCAGCTATTGCTGCTGCTGCTGTCGCTGCTGCTAATACAGATGCTGCAGCTACTGCTGCTGCTGCTGCTGCTGCTGCTGCTGCTGCTGCTTGAGCAGCATTTACCGCAGCCTTTGGTGCAGCGCCTCTGCTGCTGCGGCTCGTGCTGCTCCGCTGCTGCCTAAGCAGCAGCAGCAGCAGCAGCAGCAGCAGCAGCAGCAGCAATCAGAGGTCGTCTAGGTAGGTCGACTGCAGCTCCATGAACGTCTGCAGCAGCAAAAGAAAAAGGAAAAAACAAATTAAATAAAAAAATAAATACTGGGGAGACAGAAAGAAATATAAAATAAACAAATACACAAAAAAAACAAACACACACTCACGCCAAGAAGCAGCAGCAGCAGCAGCAGCTGCAGCAGCAGTAACAGCAGCAGCGGGAAAAGCAGTAGCGGCAATGCCAGTAGCAGCAGCAGCAGCACACAGCAGCAGCAGCAGCACACAGCAGCAGCAGCAGCAGCAGGTGCAGCAGCAGCAGGTGCAGCAGCAGCCGTACAAGGTGTGATAGAGAAATAAAGAGAGACAGAGAAACAGAAAAGAAAAAAAAAGAAACAAAAAAAGAAACAAAAAAAAGAAACAGAACAAACAAAAGAATAACCAAAAAAAAAAAAAAAAAAAAAAAAAAAAAAAAAAAAAAAAAAAAAAAAAAAAAAAAAAAA